ATTTGATTTGGAAGTGCTAATCTTGAAAATACTATTCTCCAGAAATGATTTTCCCCCGGGTACAATTATGATTATAATGATTATAGTCTGAGGTTTTAGGTCAAGGAATTCAGAAACAAGCAGCCTGTCGACTGAGATGGCTCCACTATTAGCACTGCACATTTCAATTAAAGAACTGAAGATTAGAAAATAAACAATATCATGTACATTTAAACATTTACAGTGATTGCTTTTGAAAAAGTCAACAGTGGAGCTAAAAATTGGCTGAGATTAAAAACATGTTGAAATATTCTTTTTTAATATATACCGGTACTATTATATTTCCATTGTATAGAAATTCCCAATAACTCTCTGAACTGCATGTATAACATTCAACTACATGTATACAAACACGTACATTTGTACAACCAATTTATATTCTATCTGGGCTAACTATTGCCAGGATACTATAAAGTCAAATGCATTTAATATTATACTGAATACATTATGCAACAGTGTCCTGGATATTAGTTATGCATGATAATAAGGTCAGATGACCATATATGGACATGTGATATGTCAGTCACATATTGCATATTAATAAGGTCAGATGACCATATATGGACATATGATGTCAGTCACATCTTGCATATTAATAAGGTCAGATGACCATATATGGACATGTGATGTCAGTCACATATTGCATATTAATAAGGTCAGATGACCATATATGGACATGTGATATGTCAGTCACATCTTGCATATTAATAAGGTCAGATGACCATATATGGACATGTGATATGTCAGTCACATCTTGCATATTAATGAGGTCAGATGACCATATATGGACATGTGATATGTCAGTCACATCTTGCATATTAATAAGGTCAGATGACCATATATGGACATGTGATATGTCAGTCACATCTTGCATATTAATAAGGTCAGATGACCATATATGGACATGTGATGTCAGTCACATCTTGCATATTAATAAGGTCAGATGACCATATATGGACATGTGATATGTCAGTCACATCTTGCATATTAATAAGGTCAGATGACCATATATGGACATGTGATATGTCAGTCACATCTTGCATATTAATAAGGTCAGATGACCATATATGGACATGTGATATGTCAGTCACATCTATTGTGAAACGCCTTCATTATAATACATGGAGCACTGGTTTCATATCACTGCCGCTGCATCAGTGTTTCATACATTATAGTCATGCATACTAATCAGTCACATGGTCTAATGCCTTCAGTATTGTACTGAAAGCATATCTCTGACTGCAACAGCACTCAGGATATTACAGTTATGCATAATAATGTGGTCATGCACATGTCCATATATAGATGTTAATCACATCCTTTGTGATTATAGCACTTGTCACATGTTACTATCACTATTACAGTTACACATATTAATGAGGTCCCATGATCCCATTTATATTAAATACATGTAGGTAATTAATGTGCATGGATTTCAACCCTGAAGACTTCAGAAATTTAGATTATCTAAAAGCTACTATGTACCAAGTTACATTGTGATTTGATGAGTGCTACTCAAGATATCTGCAGAGCATAAGATACATGTGTATGAACAAAATATCAAATCATCGTATACGGTTCATGATTTCATTAAATACTAATAATTGCCTGTACCAAGATGGACAATAGCTGTTCATTTTTAACCAAGAACTAGGTCCAATATGGCAGAAATTCTTGATGAATTTTTAACATTAAAATGGTGGCCATTTTTATGTGTCTTGAATCAGGTCATGAAACAAAAAGATGTATTTATGTATCACAAGATGTAAAATCTGTGTGATGTTTGAAAGTAATCATCCGAGGCATGTTTGAGATGGGCACACATGAACAGACTGCACCCTAACAGGGACTAAATGATTAGTATTCAAATTAAATAAATACAATATGCAGATTAACAACATTCAACTACACACACAGTATGCATATAATATGCAATTTAGCGAATTACCTTATTCTTATGTAGTGTCAAACATCCAACTACAAAAGGAGCATATACATGTAGCAGATTTTAATCCATCTGAGAACAATTTTTGGATATAAAAAAATATGTTGAAAAGAGATATCATTATGCAAATTAGCTAATCCAATCAGAGCAGGGCAGGGCAGGGCAGGGCAGGAGTTCATCACAAATCACCTATATGTGTCAGTATCAAATTCAATTTCAATTTTTGGACGCATGAATCCATCTATTCATCCATACAGACAGACAGACATTGGTGTGACATTAGCTTCCTTTTGTGTTCTGCACACAGGAGCCAAACAAACTCAATTATTTGTAATAGAAGCTAGATACAAAAATGGTCATTAACCTACAATATTTGCAGGTTAATTTATGATCCCCGAAAACTCATTTTAATATAATTTACTCAGTCACTTTATATTTTCTTTTGAAATAAGTACATACATGTAATTTCATAAATCATACCCCCAACTCAGTCAACTAAATATTTTATTTTCCAGAGATACGAGATATGTATAAAAATACAACAACCCTATACAATCTGGACATGCATCATGGTAAATGTATAATATATGACAGTGCTTCATAGAACTACTGCGGTAGGAAAACCTCTCTTTCTAATTGCCTTTATTAGCATAGAATCCCTCATAATGTACATGTTTTTGTACACACATACATAACTAACCCGCAGAAATGCTAATGGTTTTGATTGATTGATTGATTGATTGATTGATTGATTGATTTATTTATTTATACATTCATTCATTTATTCATTCATTCACTCACTCACTCATTCATTTTAATAGGTAATCCAATGGCATAAGCCAACATCACAAATTTGGCATTAAATAAATCTGACACCAATAACTCACTAAAAATAATTGTGATACAATACACATTATTCGTGCAGGAAACAATAATAGTAAAAATATTATTATCTTATAATTTTAGAGAATGGTCTAGTGAAATAGTGAACACAGAATTAAATTTTCAGTTTTTAATAAAATTGTCAATGTTTTCTTAATTCTGTGTTTTAACAAGCTGTTAATATGCATTTGCTCTTAGACTATTAGAAGTGTGTTTCCAATAGAAGTGCACATAAGCCAAAAATTGCATGTACATTGTACTGTAAGTTGGATTAAAAAAATACAATAAGTTTG